ATCCACAACTGAACCTTTTTCGTTTACTTGATTGTCAATCCAAGATATGGTTTCCATCTTTTCCAGTTGCGAAATTTTTCCTGAATTTTTGTTGATGTATCCGCTTAACCCTTTCCGGCACGCTACCTTTTAAAGTTGGAATTTCGATTAAAAAAAAAAAGGTTGGCAGTTTAATTAGGCCTAGAGGAGTACACAAGTAAAATTTTGTAAAGATAGCACTTATCGTTTTAACTGTGTGGGTGTGCCCGCTTCGGGCACACTGATTGAATAGAGCTTCGAAAGGAGTGCTGAAACGAGCATTACTGGGAAGCACGTAAAAGAGTAAGAGATTTTGCCTACGATTAAAAAACACTAGATTCTGAATTACCATAGCAGATTTAGCATTACCCAGGTGTGTCACATGGAGATCTGCTACTCTACACCCCCTAAAAAGCTCATTTTTGGTTATATGATGATTACATGCTTATAAATGGAAAAAAGTAACTTGGGCATAGGATATTTACATTATTTACATTTCACATTTACACTTTAGTCTATTTTTTTCATCGTGGTACTTTTCGAAGAAAGAGACACCACCTTTGAAAAGCACAACCCAATATTGCATGTTTTGCACATGTGCTGGGATCAGTATCAGATTCACTATCTGAAAGCAATTCGTGTAGCACTTTCAATACTTTAGAAATGGTCAACCCTCTCCGATCTGTTTGGCAAATAATTAACAATAAAAATCCGAAAAAAATAAACTAATATTACATTTACAATTTGAAATTATAAACTATAAGATAAAAATATAAATATCTACAACTCAAAACTATTAAACGTAGCGCTAAGGAAACTTCTTTGAACCAAAGCGAAAGAGAAAAAGAGAACTGCTCTAGTGAAAAACCAAACAGCTAACTGATAAAATTATCCCTGACCATCATAAAATCACCCCAACAATTTCTTAGTTGATAATCAAACCTCCCCTCCACACACAGAAAAGGGGGGAAGAAGAAAGAGAAAAATAGGAAATGAAACACATATGTAGACCCACCTTTCTGTGTTAATGAACTGCAGACAAACAAAGATACAGCTGCCTCTCAGTGACCTAGACTCGCAGTGGGCCCAGTCTGGGAACACCTCGGTTCGCCGTTCCATTTTAGGCAAGATTTCAAGGGAAACATTTAAAACTAATATAGAATAAGGAGATTAGCATACTGGCAAAAAATAACATAAACATAGAAATTTCCTTTCAAACAATTCCTTTTATACCCTAAAAATATAGAAGATTTCTTTGAAAAATGAGGGTCTTAAAAAACTAAGCAAGGCTAAAATACATGGACTGGTTTGTGTTAAGTTGTCATCTACTATAAATAAAGAAGGTTCAGAGTAACCTATAGTAACCTACAAATCCTTTTCCATTCAATTTTTCTGTGCGTACAGAAGGAAATTTTTAGGTGCACCGTGTCGCAAAGGGTTAAAGCTTTGACATAAATCAAATCTTGTTTCTCTGCCGTAGGTTGTTATGATTCTTTCGTTTATAGCTAGTTCTCTTGCTATCTAAAATTCCTATTTTCAGAGCTAATGTAAAAAATTTGCGGATTTTTGTTACTTTATCATCAGTCTTCCTGTTAGACACAAAATGAATTTTAAAATTAAAAATAAATAAAAATGAGAAAAGAGAACAAACATTGATAAATACATAATTACAGCTTTGTTAATGTGAGTCAAATGATTGCAACTCGGCCTGGGTCATTCAGCTAATAAGCAGCGATATTGCCAAATGCGTCTGTGGGTAGTCTATTGTAAAGACGGTTAACATACAAATGCGCTCAGCAAGGTTTTGCTAGACAGGGAGATTCTAAATTATTTTTACAAATTAAGAGGGGTAATAGTACCAATCCAGAGGAGCAATAATTACCACAAAAGATAGGGTCGCATTCCATTCTGAGAGGCAGAAAAGAGGAAAGTAGAAACGCATCGAGGGAGAACAAGGAGACTATTTCCTAACACTATCAAGAATTAACTCTATGCAAATTTGCACTAAAAAGAAACAGCATTTTGCGCTTAATTGGTATCTGAGAAAGTCAACCAGAGCAAACGGTGTCCTTGAATACGGCACAATATCCTTGCTTCATGTATTACCTTTATAATATCGCCGGAAATGTTTCGTGAATGCTATGGCGGAATACACGTACGAGGAACTGCCAGATATTCACCTCACATACTGTGAAGCAAAAAGGAAATGGACTCGAAGTACGAACAGCGAGTTCCAATTTGTGGGAATCCAAATCATCCACTCTTTTCCAGTGCTGATGGAAGACTGCTAGAAATCGGTTCTTTTGCCATGCGGTGGCGTACGAAATGGGTATGAGAAGCGCACTCACCCCTACCACGTGCAAAAAGTGTAATAATTGGATACACATGATCATTCATGCCGGACAAATTTTGTGTAGTAGATGCTTGGAATGAGGAATAATAATCCACGATTTCCTGCATTAATATTACTTAGTGATGAGGGAACATTCAACACAGAAGACATTTTCAACGTTCACAATCAACACGTTTGATCTGACAGCTATGCCCACTGCACTACCCCTCATAAATACCAGCAGAAAGTTTCCGTGAACATCTGAGCAGGTATCTTAGGTGATTACCTGGTAGGCCCTTATATCATGCCAGACCGTTCGACCGGCGCAACATACTGCATCTCCTTGGAACAAATGCTTCCCAGTTTATTGCAGACTGTTCCGCCCCACATCCAGAGAGACATGTGGTTTATGCACGATGGAGCCACAGCACATTTTTTCCGGTCACTGTCCGTAACGCTTTGAATGCTACATATCCTGCAAGATGAATCGGGTGTGGCGGACCTGTGGCTTGGCCTCCTCGCTCATGGGAACTCAACCCACTGGACTTCTTCTTCTGGGAGCACAATGAAATCTTTAGTGTACGAGACGTCTGTGGGCTCAGTTGAAGATCTCGTGGCGAAAATCGTTGTTGCGGTCGACAAAATTAATACGGCACCAGGAGTCTTCGAGAGGGTGCGCCAGTCATTCCTTCACCGATGGCAACTGTGCTACGACACGCGTGGTCAGCATTTTGAGCATTTTTTGTGAGTTTTCCACTGAACGATAAATCTAATTGCGCAACTTTTGGTCTCATTCATTCGCTTTCTTAACACTAAGTTCAGGTTGGAATTCTAATATACCTCTTTTCTGCCTCTCGGAGTGGAATGCGAGCCTATGTTCTCTTTTACTTATTGCTCGTCTGAATGGGTACTATCATGCCTTTTGATTTGTAAAAACAATTTAGAATCCCCCTGAATAATGTACATAATCCGAAAGATAGAATTATATAATTAAAGACTGTTATACTTTTTTTTTCTTTTTTGATAACAAAAGTTCTATGTAATGTGTTTTAACAATAATGTTTGTACGAAAGGTTGGCCTACCACTTTGAGCTGCAAAGATCCATTCTAAGGCCAGCAAGTTCTCGTGTAATTCTATGTATGCTTTTCCCTTATAAAACAGGAAAACTAAGCCCCGAGCCTGATTTATTTGTATAGATATATGTAATAAAAAGGGTATGTATGTATAAAGAATATATAATACGGTGGCAATTAATATACACAGAGTTTTCAGAGGAATATCAAATTAATTGAAAAAAATAGAGAAAATTTGAATGCTTTCAGATTATTTTTATATGCTTTTTAAAGTGTGATTTAAAGTAATCAAATAAGTTATTTTATTTCCAGTTCTTTCCATAGCGTGTTTTCTCTTTGTAGCTTCATTTTATTCTTGCGAATTTATGTTTATGCTGGTGTTGCATTAAACTCGGCGCAATGATAAAAAATAAAACCTGCAAGAGATTTTCATTCTAAAACAATAAAAAATGTTTTGAAGATATTATAGGTACATCATTGCATGTTATTCTGCACATTGTAGCACTTATTTTAATTTCCTAATAGTCATTTTAAATTTTGAACAGCTTTCCTTTATTCTCTTGTTTCCCACCTCGGCTAAGTTTTTAGTTAGTTAGCATTAGTTTAGTTTCTTATTTTATATCCTCAGGCCAAAGTCTCTACACACTTCTCAAGTATTCTAGTTGCCAAAACAACCAAATTTAACTAGAATCTTATAAAAATTATAATTTAATATCAATATTAAACCTGTTTGAGATTCAATGGAGAAACATATCGGGAGATTTAGCTAAAAGAACTACAAGAGCCATATCAAAAGCAGCGTTAAGCTTTAATAATATTTTTTATCGAAATATTTCATTCCTTATTATTTTATGTTGACTATTTCTTCTCTCATAAGCAATGTACATACAAACTGAATGGTACAAAAAGAAAACATGCCTATGATTGGTGTAATGAATTTATTTTACAAATGTAAATATAGTATGAAATGTAACTCTTCAAATTTCCAAGAACATTTACAGATTCTCTGGGTAAGAACTTTTTGAGACGTTTATATAATTATTTAGTTCTTGCTGCACCCGTAGAAGCATTACCTGATGATAAACTGAATCGTCCTCATAGCATATCTACTAGTTTAATTGATGGTAGATGTGTAGAAATGAGGGTAAGAACATCTTGTCTTTTACATATCCTCAAAGGAAGACATTGTAAGGCATTATCGGGTAATCTGAAAGTTTAGAACTTGAGTAGTATGTTTTTTGAATCAGCACGTTCAGTCCAGCATTTTGAAAGATGCTGGTTGAGGTTTGGTCTAGAAAGGGTTATGATCAAAAAATGAGAAGAGAAATATATACAGCAAATAACGCATTACAATTTGTTCATATGGTGACTTTGAATTTTAGCCAATTATGTTTCAAAAGTCAGTACAATTAAAAAAATAATTTTCCGCGAGAATTAACAGTATATTTAACATTCATAATTTCACCTTTAGAATATTTCTTCTAAAGTAATGAGTTCAAATCAAATAGTAAGTAATAAAAGATAACACTATAAGTTTAAAAGTTTTTTTAAGTAATAAAAGATAACACTATTTATTTTGAAATAATTTATTTAAGAAACACAATTCTTTACATAGGACATTAATATAAGACAAACTGAAATTAAGTTTACAAAGTTTATTGAAAAACATAGCAAGAAAATAAAATATTTTCTTCTATAAAAAATAATATTATGAAACAAGACTAAGGAAAAAAAAGCTTCTGTTTTACAGAAAGCATTTCTTATCAATCCGATACGTGATTTCCAGTTTTGGGTATAAATTTAGTGCAACATTATTTTCATAAATGTTCAAGTGAAGGTGATAGTCATCAAAAGTGAGTACAATTAAAAAACAACTTTCCTCAAGAATTAACAGTATGTTTAACATTCAAAATTCCTCGTCTAAAGTAAAGAATTCAAAGAAATCAGTGATAAAAGATAATAGAACTTATCTTGAAGCAATTTATTTAACAAACTCAGTTCTTTATTTTACATTAATATAAAGCAAATTAAGTTATAATGTACAAAGTTTATTGATAAGCACAGTAAGAACTATTTAATCAACATTCTTTTTTTAAACAAGAATAAGGAAAAAAGGTTCTCCGTCGTTTTACACAAAACATTTTGAACAAATCAAAGATATATGATTTCCAGTTTTGTGTATAAATTTAGTACAATATTATTTTTAAAAATGTTCAAATGAAGGTAACAGTTGTTTTCTTAATTTAAAACATCAAATTAGCACCTGGTGCCCAGACATTAAATAAATATGTTTAAGGTAATATGTATTTAAATTATGCATAATTACATTAATTATGGAACTCTGGAATCATATTTAATATACCCAAGGGGCATTTTATAAAACTACGTAACGTAAGCAATTGTAATGAATCGTTAGATTTCCAAAGACAAGTTGCTGTGAGTTAAAAGACTAAGTTACAAAATATCAATATGGGAAAAAACAGAAACACTTGATACTTAATTATACTTTTAATAAAGTATAATTAAGTATCAAGATTAATTAAATTTAATTAAGCGTTTTATAAGGAGCTTTAATTAATGTTTTTTATTAACAAAGTATGCAAACACTATTAGTAATTGAAAAAAAAGCCAATTATCGTGATCTGATGTTACGTGAATGTATAAAATCTAGTTTAATTTAATGTTGTCAAATATTTTGAGTTCATACAGTTCTTGTTTTTATTAATATTATTTTATTTATTTACTATACACATATTCCTCCCTCTTAATAAGGGGGAACCGTATTAACAGAAACTTTACTAAATGTTTAAGAATATGCTTTTTTACAGTAATAGATTCCTTCTTAGCCGGCTTCCGTTTAACCAGATTTTCGCTTTAACCAACCATAATTAATTTAAGTACGAAAATAAAAAAAATAAGCGAAAACATTACCCAAAACTGAAAATGATATGGTGTTGACAAAGAATATAATACGAATAGACATTCTTTGGTGTTGACTTAGCATGTAGTTCAATAATAGAGGCGACACGTGTTGAAACTTGAAAGGAAAAGGGCAAGGTTCTTTAGAAGGCATAAAAGGCATAAAGGGCGCACGAATCGCGATATGAAGAATGGCGACTAGTGAGATGGCTACAATAAAGTTGGTTGCAGGGAAAGAGGGCAAATGAAGGAGAAATGATGAAACCTCTCAAACAGTGGCGTAGCTAGGGTGGGGCAAGGGGGGACATCTGTCCCCGGGCGCAGCATCCAAAGGGCGCCAAATCGATGCTACGAAATTTTTTAATGAAATGTTTTCCATTCTTGGCACACAGAAAGAGGCGCAAATTCTTCAGTTGTCCCCGGGGGCTGCAAACTCTAACTACGCCCCTGCTCTCAAACATTTCCCTATAGTATTCGAACATATTGGGATTTGAAATTTTGAACCTCCGATATATCACATACAGACGGAGAGAAAGCATTGGAAATTGCTTTATGTTGTGTGAAACTACGGGCCATCAGCTGACTCTGTTGATGTGATGCTTTCAAGAAAATGGTGAAATTATGCAAGGTATCGCCGAATATCCAGCCTTTGAGGAAGGAAAAAAAAGGAAAAAAAAAAAAAAAACTGAATTTTTTTTAACATATTTACTAATGGTATATAAAACTTCTGTAATAAATTAATACATTTAATTAAATACTTACTGTAACTATAAAAAAACGCGTTTTCACCAATTAAATAATTTTTTTCATTCTCCGCTTTAACAGGAATTTCATTTAACCGGTTTAAAACTGGTCCCATTTAGGCCGGTTAAGAGGAAATTTACTGTATTTAAATAGCCTTCATCGCATCACATTTTCATTAAAAAATGAAGTATTTTTATATAAAAAGAAACCGATATACTTAGAAAATGAAGTATTTCATTAAAAATTTAAGTATTTCGTATGTCTTTAAGAGTACAAAAAGAAAATCTAATATTATACTCATATAAGAATGTGTTAACATTTTTAAATGAATGTGAGGGAAATTTATACGAAACATTTTATCATATTCAGTAAATTATTTGTTTGAAAGTTTTAGCATAAAATCTTCGGTACACAGAAAAAATGTAGACACAGTTGCACTAAAATAAATGTATTAAAAACGAGTATCACAAACATTTTTAAAACATACATAATGTGTAAAGTGTGGACAGCTTTTTACGAAACATAAATACTAGTTCGTAAATCGTCAAATTTTAAAATAATACTTAAGCATTGGCTACGCTAGAGTTTTGCTTCTTGATTTTGAAATTTCTTCCGTATTAATTTTTCTAAACAAATGATTGGAGATTCGAATATCAGAGATACAGGCAGAGCTAGTCCATATGTTTGAACTAAGAATCCCAAAAAGTAAAGGGTCTGAAAAAGAAAATATTTATTTGCACCTGATTTAATAAAACGTGAATATGTGTCTTAAACTAAATAATTTAATTTTTACCAAACATCAAGTAAGCAATAATATTTCATATTCTGTGATAAAATATATACATAGCTACTTCGGTATACGTCCGCTTTGAAATACGTCCAGTTTGGTGTATGTCGTGTTTGGATCCGAAATTTTGTTTGGTAAACGACAATTGATTGGAATACCACTCGAGTTCGATGAATCACTACTGCGCAACACTACACGTGTTTACCTCTTTGCGATTAAATTCGTAAAGAGGTAAACACATGTAGTGTTCCGCAGTAGTTCCTCTTTACGATTCCCATGGGCAATACTACGATTGTCCAAGATGCCATTACCATTCTCTTTCAGTTTCAGAGTTTCTTAAGACTGAGTTTTAACGTAATTTTGTGATTTTCGAGTAAAAATTTTGAGAACTTATTAATAACGAAATTTAGGAAAGTTAATGAGAGTCAAATAACGAAGAAAATTCTCAAAATCTCCATGGAGATAGAAAAAGAAATTGTTGAAAAAGTATGAAGCTAGCATACGTATCCGGGACTTAGCCTTACTGCATACATCATGCCGAGTACAATGGTATCAACGACTGTGAACAACTATGAAATCGGCTAATGTTGAGTTTCTTCAGGTAAGGAACATTGGCAAAATTTTGACAGTCAAGGCTACTTTGAGAACAGTTGGAGTTTTAGTTTGAAAGCGCATACTGCGTTGGTCAGTTGACTGATGAATTGGGTTTTCTTCCCACCCAATTTTTGTTTAGGTTATTCAGATGGGTTGTCATATCAACTAAAAATGCTAAGTCACATATGAAAGATAGTTACTTTAACATTCTAGTTTGCTTACCTTTTTCAAGGAATGGTATTATTTTATCAATCAAATCAGTAAACCTTTTCACTATGAAATCGGCTAATGTTGAGAAAGGGGTAAAACTGATTACCAAAGACCACAGACTTCAGAGAGTGTTGAAAAATTGCTTGTTTTCTGGATAGCGAAGAAACAGGGAGTGACATAGCGTTTAATGACCGTTGAACGAATGCCGTTGATAGACGACTGGAAAGTTTAGTTTTGCTATAATTTTATTGGATTCAAATTACTTATTTATACAAATCACAAACCGTAAACATACAATAGTTGGGTCATCCATGTAAAACAGTGTAATACACACCTCTCGACATTGAAAATACAACACCTAGAAGGAGTGGTCAGAAATTTATGCAAATTTTAGAGTAGACGCACGTCACTGAGTTATGCGAATGATGTGAAATGCACAACTCTCCGATGCATCTGAAGTAAGATATAAGGGAAGGAACGTGAAAAATGGGCAATATTCTTGTCGCTATATCTGCCAGATGAATTATCGAAGAAAGTTGATTTTTGTCGCGGAGGATACGTGTAATGGGAGAGAATGCCAAGCCGCCGTCAACGAAGGCATTTCCACCCGCCCCAGACGGACGATTTTTACAAGGGGTATGGTGATCGTACTGAGAAGGGCGGGTTGGTTCTTACGTCAAATCGCAGCTAATACCCACATGGGTGCGAGCACAGTGCATCAGCTATGGCGAACATGGTTGGAACAAGAAAATGTGGGAAGAAGGAGGGGTGCAGGTACAGCCAGAGTGACGTCAGCACGCGTGAATCGACGCATCCGCCGACAAGCTGTGGCGGTCCCGCAAGTCACTTGTACCGCGATTCTGCAGCATGTGCAAGATACCCTGAATGTTCCCGTGTCGACCAAAACCATTTCCCGTCGATTGGTTGAACGTGGCCTGCACTTACGGCGTCCGTTAAGGAGACTGCCATTGACTCCACAGCATAAACGCCAACGTTTAAAATGGTACCGGACTGGAGCGATGTGGATGACAGAATGGCGAAACGTCGTGTTCTTAGATGAGACACGCTTCTGTTTATCCAGTGACAGTCCCCGCATACATGTGTGGCGTCGACGTGGGGATAGGTCTAATCCGGCAGTAACTGTGGAACGCCCCACCGCGCGACAACGTGGCATAATGGTTTGGGACGCTATTGCCTATGATTCCAGGTCACTTCTACTTCGTATTCAGGGCACTATGACGGCCCAACGATACTAGGATAACGTACTGCGACCGGTGGCAATCTCCTACCTTAAAGGGCTTCCTAATGCAATTTTTCGGCAAGATAACGCCCGACCACACAGTGCTCGCATCTGCCAACATGCTCTGCAATGTATACAGATGCTTCCCTGACCACCGTACTCTTCTGATCTGTCACCAATCGAACATGCGTGGGATGTGATTGGACGCCGTTTGTAGACTCTGCCCCTGCCTCGTGCATCGCTGTCCTTCACAGTTTCTTCGTCCATCGCTGTCCGCGGTGGTCCTACATCCTACTGAGCCGACGCCGTTTTCGCTCTGTATTCTGACTATCATTTTGAAATAAAGATCACTAATTGCTGCTTGCTGTCTCTGTCTTTTTTCCAAATTTCATCATTTTCTGACCACTCCTTCCTGGTGTTGCATTTTCAATGTCGAGCAGTGTGTATGCCGATAACATAATTTACTTAAAAATAAATATTAAAACTGTAGTTAACTACGTTCTAGCGACAGAATTCGATCGTGACGATAACGCTAAATTATGCTGCCAACGCAGGGCAATGAATAAATATAAACTTATTACGAGAGACCATCTAGCGGAATACCACTTCCAGTTATTTATTTTTAAATGACACCAGTAAAATTGGTTGTTATTTTAATCACCCCTATCGTCTGCAGTATTGTAAGCATTAGTATATCAATCCTGTAGAAGGTACTAATATTCAAGCAACTGAATCATGCTAGAGGGTTTTGAAGCTAAAGCTTCAACACAAATTGTAATGTATCACAACGCAAATTCTTCCACGTTACCTCGCAGAAGCACGGAAAACTGTGATTAAAAATGATGACTATGTTTTGGCCTCGCTACGCGACAATCATAATGCATACGGTTGAACGACTCATAAAATGGGGCCCTTTTAAGGGCCCCTCTTGCTTTTGTTTTGTAGAGTTGGAAGAAATTAAAAATTAATGAAATAAAAAAATTAATAGATTATTAAATTAATGGAATCATTTCCAATTATATATTCTTAATTATTTTTTGTTTATTATTATATTTATAAGATAGCATCTTAGAGGTGCCATCTAAGAAGTAAAGAACTCATTAAGAGTGATACATCGCATACTACATCATTATCGATAAATATTTGTGTACAACAGTATGTGCTGTCTTCCATTTCTGCACACTCTGTACAAAAAAAAAAAGGGGTGGGGCAGTTCTATATGTTCTACTCGGTCGAAATTTAGCTTTCGTTTTTCATGTCTCAAAAGCGCGACTTAGTTATGTGTTAGATTTATACAGACGCTGCTTACACATTTCTTAGACGAATTTGCTCTGCTATTAAAAAAAAAGTCACCTGCTTGGAAAATTTATTAACTGAAACTATATTTTTGAAAGTACAAATTATCGTATGCTATTTGACAATTTTGTTTTCATTCAAAACGGCGCTTTTAATGATGCAATGGATGGAAGGTTATGTTTGTGCTCTTTCCAAAGAAAATTATTGGTATTTAGTTATTAAAAAACTGCTGTAAAAGCCATAATTTTTCGGTAACCAAAGCAGCGATCGATCGATAATATTGTCAATAAGAAAGGGAAAAATGTATAGCAATGATGATCAAGAAGAAACAAAATTCGATGATACGCCTGAAGATATAACGGAAGACGAACATGACGAATTCTTCATGTTTTCTGATAATGAAAATGTTTAATTTCATAAGGTATGTTATTTCTTTTAAATAAGCAGTATTTTACAAATCTAATTTTTTCTTTAAGCTATCGTGTTTTTATTCGGCGTATATCGCGCATCCGTAAATTTCGGTCCTATTTCTTGTATTAAAAGTGCGAGATATACGCCGGAACATACGTAGACCTTTGGAGAATCCAAATGCGCAAAAATCCAGCCGTGATACATCAGCAGATTTAGTAGGTTGGTGAGTGAGTGAGAGTCCTTGATACCCATTTCTTGCTCCATATTTTTCCAGGAAATTAACAGTGGACTTTGAGGTGTGGCTGCTTGTTTTGTCTTGACGTAGTTCTACTGATTGATGGCACTGTGGATAAGCAGAAGACCTGAAAATTGGGTATAAAATATGTTCCTGACAATAACGGAGTTGATCTCAACATTTTTCTCCACTCTCTTTAATTTGACGCTATATGAAAAATCAGCAACAATTATCAATCCGTTTAAAAAACTTTCTTTAGATTCTTTGAACCGTGTTTTAAGGTTGTTTTCTCCTCTTTGATGATAATAAATGGATCTCTTTTCGTAGCAGTCATTTAAATAGATTAAAGATTCATGGACCGTGATAAAATGTTTTAATTTTTGTCTGGAGAAATATTTCTCACAAAGAATTCTGTAGCGCGTTCTGCGTTCAGCGATATGTCGTAGAGAAAGACGATGCACACGAGTATTTTTCTCCTTTTTAAGATTCAGATAAGCAATAATTTACAGTTAAAACTTTGCATTTTAATGATTTTGTAACTGCCGTTTGATTCGGCGGGTTTTCTTTCAACATTAAAAAAATCTTACCTTGCAGCATTCGAAACATTCCGTCTTTTGATATGTATTACTCTTTGGATATCTATTTGGAAAATTTTTCCACTTGAAACCAAACTTGGAATTTTTTTTTTCCTTCTTTTGGCAGTATCGCCTATCAGAGTATTAGCTATCGAAAAACCATGGCTTCACAGCGTTTTTTAATAGATGGAAACGAATAATTTTCTTCGAAAAGAGCACAACCATAACCTTCTATCTATTGCTTCTTTAAACGCGCCATTTTGCATGAAAACAAAATTGTGAGGTAGCAGATGATAATTTATACTTTCAAAAACATAGCTGCTGTTAAAACAAATTTATAAGCAGACAACGTTTTTTAATAGCAAGGCAAAATCGGCTAAAAAATGTACGAAGAGCCTCTGTTATTGAACGAGGGTAGAAAGGGTTTTGGTTGGACTTTTTCCAAGCTCTAAGAAATAAATATATGTTAAAGACATTGAAGCCTACAGTTTCTAAGCTGTGTATTCAAAGTGTATAGCTGATTTCCAATTGTATTTTAAAAGAACTATCTTTTCCTCCGATTCTGTCTGATTTTCTGAAACCTTACAATAGCTAAGGCAGCGGTCTCAAGGAATTTTATGCCACCGACAAGATGTTTCAATTATGTATGCATATACGGTGTTGGAAATATTTCAAAATTTTAGTTACTTGTTGTTCGAATTTACATTATTTTCATGCCCATTAAAAACGAACATGAATGATTTATCAGAAAATCTATAAATAGAGCTAATTAATTTACACTGGGCTATAAAACGTATTCAGAGATGTGAAGGTACAGATTTTATTAACTTTTATTTTCGCTTATCATAAATTAAATAAGCTCAACTATGAAATTTTTGCATTAAGAATAATTGCTTCGCTTGGAACTGCATCTATATGTGAACAGCTATTTTTCACAGTTGAAAATTATTACAAAAAGCTCCCGATTGATCTATGAGCATCTACAATCCTGTGATGAAATTAATTTGTAGTAATTTCTGTCCAAGGCTATAAACTTTATCGAAATCGAAATGCCATCAAGTTTCAAGTTGCAGTGAGAAATATAGAAGCTTATAATTACGTATAAACCCTTAAATTAAAGTAAATAATTTAATGGTTAATTAAACATGTTAGAAAGTGTCGTTCTAAGAATTTATATTTGAATTACAAAGTGAAATCAACAAAAATGTCTAACAGGTAACAAACTTTATATTTCGGATAAAAACAAATATAAATTCGAATTTTTTCCCTTTGCGATATTATCATTCTTTTTTAATATATGTTTTGATAAATGTTTAGTAAACGAAATTAAAAATTTATTTAAAATATTTATTATTTTATTAATATTTTTTATTTTACTAAAAAAATTATCTGGCTCATTAGTTGTTATCAGATCGTGCGCACGGCCAGTATGCAGTATGAGCTGGAAACCCCAAGCTCAGGAATGCAAATAATTTGGGAATTAAGCTTTTTTAAAGTATCCGTATACATTTTAAGATTTTAAAATTACAGTTATATTTTGATACAAACCATGGTTGTATGGGAGAAAGTCAGAAGACTTCGGAGCGATGAAAAATAAAAACCCTGAATCACAGGATGAATAAGATAAGCGCAATATGTCAATCTGCTCAGCGGTATGAAAAGCTTGTATGAAAGAATACCATCAACAACAGCTGAAAATAAAACGAAAAAAAAATTAATTTACTATTCTAAATTTCATGTAATATATAAAAATTAAAGACTGGACTTTCTAATCCTAGACCCCCAAAAGGTCTTTCGTAAGGTTAGAAATCTACTCACTTTTTCATATTCTAATGGTTCGATACATAACTTAGACTAAAGACTTTGAAAATATAAATGGATCTTTTCGTTACAAACAAGCTCCAAATGATCATTTAAAGAACTATGGTCCCTACAGAACGATAAATTCGCCACCGCTAAATGAAATACGTTTTTCTTATTTCTTACGAAATAAATTTCTTATTTTCAAAATAAATTTTAGTAATAAATGCATTTTTAAAGTATGTCATAAAATTTTGTATTTTGTTTATATTAAAAAAAACTAGCCTTGTAAGATCTGTCTCTGTTATTCCACATAAACTAAATTAGATCCTACAATGAACCTAGCGAATTCTCGCACATGCGTGAATCAATTACCAGTACAGAAGAAGGGTGAAAAATAACCCTTTAATTTAATTCAAAACGATTAACAGAAAGACACGATCTTTGTGCTTTACAATGGCACCGTCAACTTGGTGAAACTGAAATGTAGAATATAATTCAAGTCGAAATCTAAAATAGAATAGTGCTGGATTAGCGCGTTAAATTGCACCCAGCAGGTTGACTCACAAAAACCTAACAGGCGTGATGATATGATAATCCGAAATGGCCAAGAGGCTTACTAGCGTAACAGCGAGAAAGCAACGAAACGTGCGCTGGCTAGCAAAAACACGCTCTGAATAAACTTAAAATTCACCTGTTTAAATGTCCCCCCTTTTTTTTGTGTGTGTGTGTGTATGTGCGTCTAGAAATCTTTTATTACAATCGAAATGAGTTGATGACGAAAGTGGTTTCTTCTTCAAAGAATCAAGTTGACGCATGTAGACCTCTAACGAAGAAGATTCAAAATGAACTTTATTAACAATCAGTAAGAGCGTTCATGTAAAAAAAAAAAAAAAAAAAAAAAAAAAAAAAAAAAACATTCTTACAGTTTCAGTGGGCTTACATCACCTACATCTTCTCGCGTGGCACCGACACCATACTCTTAATTTTCTGAAGAGAATTCAGAATTCCATGTTTAGTCACTTTTCCATATTTACTAGTTACTCTTGCACGTTAGTAGTTACTCTTCTTGAATTCCATGTTCAGCATTTAGCATTGAAATAATTCTCCTCTCTTTGCATTTGCTTTGATTTTAAACAATTTTGAATTTTTTTTTTTTTTTTTAATTGAACTATTGCTCAGATACCGTTTTTTCATCAAGTTATGCTGAGGAATGGAAGTCCAAGACTCAAGGATTTTAATCCTCAAGAAATTTAACTCAAGAAAGACTCAAGAAATTTAATTATACTTCATTTACTAAATTTTATTTGATATGCAGATTTGAAATTTCGCTTTCTTTTAAAACTTCAAAAAACTATGTAAAACGGATATATATATATATATATATATATATATATATATCCGTTTTACATAGTTAATATATATATATATATATATATATATATATATTTTACATTCACTATTCAGAGAACGTTTACGATGGCTCAGGTATTAACTAGAGAATTAAGAACTTGATTTAAAAATATTACACTAGGAAAACTTTTGGAAATTTTATCTTTAGTCAAAAAAGTAGTTATTGAATGTCATGAACAACGTTAAGACCCTGTCCAAAGCTATTTAAGTTAAACATTAATTACAATACTTAATTTATATTAAAATTAAACTATTGAAAAAATATTATGTACAGACCTGCTTGTTTTGTAAGGCAAACATAAATAACCCAAGATAATCCTATAGCAAAGCATATTCGATTAAAAGCATTGTAGAAACTAGCTGCCAATACTGATGGATTTGTCTTGTACAAGCCGTATACAGCAGTTAACGTAAGAGTTGAAGCTACTACCCATCCACAACTTAAGATGATCTAAAAAATAAAAGAAAATAAAGCGTCATTTAACAAAAACATTATGCATGTTGTAACATGTTTAGAAAACACAACGCATTTAGTTTGAAGAATCAAACAGTTAAATAAAACAGTTTTTGTCATGGAAAAAAGAATGACATCAAGTCACTCAACATCTTTAACTAACAGCATTGTTAAAGTTGCCGTCGGAAGAATGGTTAGTGATTCTGACTGTTGTACCGAAGGGCGGAATGGATGTTGTTTGTCCGCCCCTTCATATGGGAAAAAGGTGGCCCACTTATTAGGTGCCTCCATAATAATGTGACAACCGCTTTCGGCTTTAGTAGTCACCAACGCCTATAAATGGCTAGAGCCCGCCATTAGAAACAATATATATATAGTTTCCAAAGGCGTATATGCACAGGAAAACTTCTGTCGTTACTGCACCTGTCAAGAGATAATAGTTTTTTACTGATGACATTAATGATCAATTAAAAATAGCTCAAGAACTAAGAGATAAATATGCATTCTCGTCAACACAAAGGAATTCCACAAACTATAGAATAATTTTTAAGGAACTGAGAGCTTTAAACGCATCGGGGATTTCCCGCTTCGTCTTTTTCCAGATTGTTTCATCTTGTGGTCGAAATTGTTCTGACCCATCCGCTGCTAACCTTGCTGATAGAATCTTTCCCTATTTATCATCTACTTACCCCATCCAAAGAATATGTTGGCCAGGTTTGGTACATCCCAGAGGGAGAAATTCTCGCCAACAGGGTCCATTGCCAAATCTCTTGGCGAATTTCCATCTTCTTTCTAGCGGTGTATGAGACAAACTGGTTTACATTACGTCTATGGAGCCTTTCCTTAGACATAGACGTTCTTTGCCCCATCCCATCCAGTACTATTCGTAGAGGAAAGACTAAATCTTACCCTATTCACCTCATTTTCAAAAAATTATTGCTGAGAGAGTCATTTGTTGAGACAGTTAATATTACGTGACGACTGCCCATTGACTTTGCAGAGGCTTTTGTGTCTATTCTCCTTTCCCACCTACTATTCCATACCAGATTAAGTTTGTAGTATCGAATTTTTTAGTATCGAATTAGTGGCATATGAATGAGATAGAAAGAGTATTTAAAGAAAGGTTTCGCGTATCTCAGTAGGAAAACTTAGGAGTCCTTAGTGGCGAGTGTTTGCCGTCTCGCTACTTCGTTGCGTAGCTAACTACGCTCGTCTGTATTGTGGGTGCCTGCTGATATTCGCCGGTTAATTTAATTAAGGGCCAACTTATTAGATAATTATGTACAGCTTCGGCTAAGTTAAGTTTAGTTTAGCATTAGATTAGTTTCTTATCTTGAGTTAAAGCACAATTGGAGACTTGTCTGTAAAAGGGGCCATCTGTATTCTTAGTTTGAGATAATAAGGGGTAAAATTTCTACGTTCTACGGCTGCTCCCTTTTGAGTTATGCAAGATATATACGTGCAGTCGTCACAAAAAATCTCTTCTGAATCCATTTTAAATTCATTTTACAATCCTTTTTGGAAAAAAAAGAGTCCTTTATTCTGTCAATACGTACAGATATCCCACGAAAACATCGTTGAAATGGATTCGAGAGCAGTCAAAATGGATATTTTCGTTGAAATATGATACCCGAAATTTTTTCACGATTACAATACTTCATAGAAGGAAGTAAAAAGATGTACTTTTCTTCACTGAATCGATTTTGTAACCTAATTTACAGAATTTTTGTATACAATTTTTTATATTCTTTGAGTTATATTTTATGTTTTTTATGCTTTATAGGAGAACCGATTATTTCTTCTCAATTTGTGTTTTCGGGAAGTTAAATAAGAAAACGAAAAAATTAATGCACGATTTTTAATAGCTCCGATAGTAAACTACTGAAAGGACAATTGTCATGCTCAATAACATTTTGTATAAAACTTAACAGTTTTTTTGCAAATCCGAAACGTGAAATAAACAAAAGTTTAAAAAAGAGCTAGCATGAAACTTCATCTGAATTATTATAGAGCAGGAGTTCTCAATCAAAGGGGAGAAATTTCATAATTTCAGGGGGAGTCAGCCTTTTTACCTGTTAAGTATTTAGGTTTACTCTGAGAAAGTAAAAACTACTTTTATTCAAGTCTTGGTACTTACCAATACTTTCTATTCTATACTTTTCCTTGCTTAATTTATAAAACACATTAAAAATAATTTAAATCTCAATAAATGGTAGGTGTATTTTTTGATTTCTGGAAAGGATGGGACGGATGGTGTTCTAGCAATGGTAAAAGGGAGTATTGAGCAAAATAGTTAGAGAACCACTGCTATAGATTTATTATGTTTACTGTTTTCGAACCATTATAAAAAATTTTTTTATGTGTTTGCTATACTTTGTCAGCCCGAATCATAGTTGTCTTTATTCCATCAAATTGTTAACTGTTGACTTATATTTAACTAATGTGGTCAGCCACATTGCAGTAATGGCATAACTGTTAATATTAATTAATATTTTGTAGTAAACAGCATAACCATTACTAGAAAGGAGGAGCTGATTAGTGCTAAATTTATCAAACCAGCGTTAGATCCTTTACATAAATTAGTACATAAAATCTGCTCCTGCACGTCATTATCTCTTAAAATCTTGGCTATCAATTTATTGTACTCGGACACTGAACACGACTCAGTACTCTTAGTTACATGTTTCTTAGGTACAGGTTACAATTCATTCTGTTGTCTAAATTAGAAATAGTTACGAGTGCCGTGCTGTCAGGACGTGTATTTGTCGCTCCGCCGTTTTGCCTAATATCAGCAGAAGTTCTCAACGTACCGTTGTAAAAGTAGTTTCTACGTGTAGCTAACATCATCAGGAGTACACATATATAAAAATTATGTCATTACGACATTTAGTCGTTTTTTTTATGGAACTTCAAAGTTTTTAACACTATCATTCACGACTTGGAGCCATTTTCGCCGTGTTCCTCAACTTCGCAGCCCGTGGATACACCGACGGACGTAGTAGCAGCCGGAATTTTTTACATAGCCGGATAGAGGATCATCTCAGCAGTATTTTGATATAAGTTTCATCAAGATTGGATAATTGGTTGAATAATTATGCAGAAATTACTCATTTAATTTAGAGCTTTTTTTCGCTCACGCTGCATTTTCGACCGTTAGGTGCCACCTTCCCCCCCCTCGGGGTAGCGCGTTTTCATCAAGGACATTCGCAACGGCTTTCCTTTTATGAAGTGGACACTTTATTAGCTGCCTGCTAATTAATTTCCTAATTTCTGTATCATGCTGGAATAAACGGCAATCTTCATCATCTATCTTCAGAAGCAGAAGTTTCAAATTTTGGTCGTGATCGGCCCACTGGTTCCAAAGATATAATTTTTTTCGACATTTATTAACTTAGAATTTTCAGACTGCAAAATTGCGTAGTTTGACTTCCTATTACAGTGCAGTGTTGTGTTTCAGTGTCTATGTGCCTCTGGATTACTATGGAATACCTTTATACAGATGAAGGACAGATGAAATACTGCTGCCAAGGTAAGAAAATTTGACTTTTTCCCGTATTCCAGATAGAAAATTCAGCACGAAACGCAGTGCACAGAGAAACTTAGATCCTTTCCCATACGATGAGTGACACAGATTCCTCCACTTACTCGAGAGAATTTGTTTTGCAAACATTCATTACCTCGGACATAAGCTATAATGAGAAGATTGATAAACTCACTGACGAAATTAAAAAGATCGCAACTTCCTTTCGAGGTGGCAAAAATATTCTACCCCTAGGCTTCCGAAAGCAACTGATAGACACTGTTGAAGCCTTCCGAATTCTGGCTTTGGGAGTATCTGAGTATATCCCACCTCCGGATACCGTCGATAAAGCAGTCAACACATCGAGTATTTTCGCGTGTGAACTAGCAAGTCAACAGCAACACATCACAGCTGCACCTAATCTAGCGCAAAAGGCAACAGACAATCGAAAGTCCTACGCAAGTGTAACGGCGCAAAAGCCTAAACACACCTTGCTGATCTACCCTAAAGACCCGTCCACAACATCCAGGAAAGTGTTAAAAGAAAAATTGACTGCTGAATTTCCGTTACCCACATTGGGAGTTCAAGTAGCAGCATTAAGATACATTCCGCAGGAAGGACTTGCAGTGGATTGCCATACAAAGGAGGACATTCACGCACTCTCGGAAAAACTGCAGACTGAAAAGGCTAAGGAATTCTTGCAAACCAAGATCCCAAGCACAAGGCTTCCCAGGGTTGCTATACACAATATCCCATTAAGCGTTACACAGGAGGAACTTGGACGAGTCATCAGTTTAGAACTCCATATTAACAAGAATAATGCCAAAATCCTGTACAGGCTCAAAGAAAGGAGTAACACAGTCAAGTGGATTGTCGAATGTAATCCCGATGCCTTCCAACAATTCATGCGCTCCAGAAAACTACTCATCGGCTGGCGGGCACATCGAATCTCAGAGTACTTCAACACTAAGAGGTGCTACCGCTGTCAAGCATTTGGCCATACCCAGCAGGGATGCCAAAATAAAATCTATTGTGCATACTGCTCGGGGAATCATGCAATCAAAGACTGTCAAGCCAGACGAGCCACATGTATCAACTGTGCAGACAGTAACTACCGCAACCGAGACAATAAAGCTTGCGACCATCCAGCATATGATGTTGCCTGTCCAACATACACGAGATACGTCGAACGGATCAAACGCAGCACTATCTATGAATAGTCCATCTGCTACTAATGCTAACAACAACACGCCTGTAATCCAATCTAATAATAACAATAATCATATGCAGATTCTCTCTCCACATACTATACCTCCATCAAGCAGGAACATAGGTACACTAAGCACAAGTATCATCAAATGCCTGCAAATCAATCTTCAAAGGGCTGAGGCAGCAACATCTCATGTCCTCACGCAAGTTATTTCCAACGACGTAGACCTCGTAATCATGCAGGAACCATACTGTAGAGAAGGTCACGTCGCAAGCTTACCTATTGCATGGAAAATATACCAAAAGGAGTCCCCGACGGCAGATCTTGCTCCTAGAGTAGCAATTGCCTGCTGCAACCCCGCATGGACACCACAAGTCATCAAGCTGCATAGGGATTATGTCGCCATTCTAATCATTTTTGAAAATATGCTATTTATCCTTACTTCGGTGTATTCACCACCAACAGATGCAATTGGCAGCACTGTCGCCCACATAAGCGAAACAAGTAGAAAATTTCCAAACACAGCTCAAGTCATAGGAGGCGACTTTAATGCCCATCATATTATATGGGGGTATAGTACCACAAATCCAAAAGGGCAGGAGCTTGAAGATTATATTGCGGCAAACAATTTACAATTGCACAATACAACGAATGCACCACCTACATTCGATAATTCGTACAATCAAGGATGGCCAGACTTAACGATCTCAACTTATGATATTGCTAACAACATACATTCATGGCATGTCTCAGACTCTGAAAGTTGTTCAGATCATAAATACGTAGAATTTACTATACACAACAGATACCACCATTTCTATAATTAACGCCGCTATAGGCTGCCAGGTAACAAGGTTAGACAATTGACCCAGGCCTTTACTCGTCTCCTGCAAGCAAAAGAATTGCAGCTAGAATCTTGCAACAACTCAGAACACCTTGATTCCCTTGCACAAGGACTTCTAGAGGAACTTAATGAAATATGTCAACAAATTTTACCCCTCCGTACAACCAAGAAATTACAAGGAATCTCTTGGTGGACCGGCGAACTAAGGCAACAAAGACAAAAATGCAGAGCTTTGCGCCGCAGACTAAGAGGCAACGTGGACGGAGAGACCAAAGCACAGATTCTGACTACATACCGGCAAGAGCGGGCTAAATATAAGAAGAATATTCTCGCTGCAAAAGTGACAAGCTGGCGTACCTTCTGTAACAACAATACGAATCCCTACGGGATCTTACATAAGATTGCAACACAGAAGGTATTCAAACCAGCACAAATTCATGCACAGGTTCCAACAGCCGGTCTTTCAACAAACCCATCGGGGTTTACAGCTGCCACCCTTCTTGACGAAATTTTTGCAAAGGACGATCCGCATGAAGATACACTGGAACAACGTGCAGTGCGAAACAATACAACTATCCCAGATACGCCAGATGATTATGCTTTCTCAGCAAAAGAAATCGCTCATGTATTTCGCTACCTACCCCTGAAAAAAGCCCCAGGACCGGATGGCCTGGACTATTCAGTAATTAAAGTTGCATATAAAGCCAATCCAGATTTCTTCACTAAATTCTTCAATAAATTACTTCAGGCAAAGCTCTCCCAACCGTATTTAAGAAGGGACAGGTAGTCTTGTTCTTGAAAAAATTCAAAAATCCAGCTGAACCGCGGTCTTACAGGCCAATCTGCTTGTTGTCTGCACTGGGCAAAGTGTATGAAAAGCTGATTGTCAATCGACTTCGTCACCATCTGCACAAGACCAAATATCTAAGTGTCAGACAATTCGGTTTCCGCATAGGATCTTCCACCGTTCAAGCCCTTTCAACAATCAAGGATTGCATCCAGAAGAATAGAAATGATAATATGCATACGGCTTTCATTCCGATTGACCTGGCAAGCGCATTTGATACTCTGTGGTGGCCAGCAATCAAACAAGCTTTACGCAATGCAAAATGCCCGACCAACCTTTATCTAACAATCACAAGCTACTTACAAGATCGTATGTTAATAATGTCCCACGATGCAGGTGTTTCATCCAAAGCCCAAGTGAGAGGTTGCCCGCAAGGCTCTTGCGCGGGGCCCCTCCTATGGAACATCACATTTAACGAAGTGCTCGCTGCAGACTGGCCCGCACACACGCGAGTTGTCGCCTACGCAGATGATGCTGCACTCCTGGTGCGAGGACGCACACGCAACGAACTGGAGAAAAACGGCACAGAAGTCTGCACACTTTTTGCTGACTACTGCACTCGACTTAAGCTTCAAATATCAACAGAAAAGTCAACAGCGTTAATCATTCCAAGGCCAGGAACAAATCCAACAAGACGGCCCTGTATTAAATTAAACGGGAGAAATATTAAGTTCGTTAAAAATCTTAAATATCTAGGAGTAACATGGGACTCCGGTCTAACCTTTATTCCTCATATACAAGACCTTCGTGTTAAAACATCTCGAATAGCGAGAACAGCGCGCCAATTTCAGGGCAAGAATTGGGGTCAGAGCCCCCATTTTCAGAAACTGTTATATCTCACAGTTGCAGAGAAAATCGCATTATATGCAGCCCCAATCTGGGCAAACCCAATGGGAGCCAGGAAAATCCGTCAACTATCAGCCTTGCAAAGACCTTTTGCGATAAACCTATGCAAAGTATATCGAACTACAGCCACAAATGCAGCACAGGTACTAGCTGGTATCATACCACTGCATATCAAAGCCTTAATGGAATCTGCATATGCCCAACTGATCCACTTGCGCCGAGATGCGACATTTGGAAACACTACCTATAGCCCAGTCCAATATGAGCATCGGGGTGACGTATTGCGTACACATCCCTCAATAAAAGGGACAGGCATACGCACAGTTAAATCCAACTGCCTTCATCGAGACACCCTCACGAAGATATACACGGATGGCTCGAAGCATGAACATGGAGTAGGTAGTGCCTTTATACACTATGATGGTTCCAACACCGAATACACATGGAAAGGACATCTGAAACCGGAAAACAGCGTCTTTCAGGCGGAAGTTACTGCTCTCACAGCAGCGGTACAGCATATACTCAACAACAATATACAGGCAGCTACCATATACACGGACAGCCTTTCAGCAATAAATGCAATAGAAAATCAACACCATGTATCGCCGAGCATCATTAACTTGCAAGACATCCTGCAGCATAATCGTCACACTAAAATTACCATGGTTTGGGTCAAAGCCCACGATGGCAACCAGGGAAATGAAGCAGCTGACCGTTTGGCTAAGGATGCTGCAAGCAATCTCGAAGCACAAGAAATAAATATTCCTGCCCCACCATCCTATCTAAAGCGTCATTTGCAGGGACAAGCAATACGACAATGGCAAGAAGAATGGACTAATGCGGAAACAGGGAGGCGCACCTATGAGCGTATTTCAAAGGTATCAACTGACCGCCTTATCGCCATTGCTCCTTTGGTAAACTACATAACAGGTCACGGGCCGTTCCCGTCTTATTTTCATCGACATGGGATATCAAATACAGACATCTGTGTCTGTGGAGAAGACGGAACGCCAGACCACTACCTATTCAGGTGCCCTCTGACAGATACCATGCATCTTTTCATGCCCACGAGCAACATAACTGCCTACCACCGACTGATAATTAAGCACAAGGGAAGCATTAATGCAATATGTAAAATTATAAAATTTATCGCGGCACTAGGTCAGGATATCTGCCAGCCCATTTAATCAACATAAGGTTTTCCACTGCATTTATCCAGGAAACTACAATTTACACACGCATACCTTATATCTTATACCTAAACAGAACTTAAACTGGTTTGAGAACTCTTGCACAATAGCAAATATTTAATGAACTTTAACGCTGTCATGTGTCCTTATTAGTTCTATACAAGCACAGTAGTATTATAACGACTCTGTAGCATGCCTTCCTATAAGCATCATATCAGCTCTCTGTATCATACGTTTCTATTAGCACTTATTACTCATATACTATCATATGTATCTTTGTCTACCTTAATATTTATTTGCACAATGTGTTTTTATTCGTAATATATCTGCTTTGCTATTAGTATCATATCAGCTCTGCACCATGTATATTTATTGGCATCATATTTACTTTGTACCAAGTGTATTTACTCGTTCTTCACCTGTACTGCATCTACTCAGCACCATGTCATTTAATTAGCTCTATATTTGTTCTGCATCATGTATATACATTAATACCATATTTGCACTGGCCATGTAACTTTTTCATTAAGATTCAAATATACTCCCGAGGCAGCCTGATGAGGCTCCAGGGAGTTGTTGCCACTAGATAGTGGAGGACGCGGGGTATATGCCTGTTTACCTATGTTAAACATCAGGCGTCCTCGTCCTCCGTCACCTGTCACCTGTCTAAATTAGAAACAAAAATGAAATCTAGCAAATTTACTTACCCAGTTGTCTTTGCCTCTGTTATTCTTATTGGATTTAAATAAGAAATATCCCAAAAATATTCCAATCAGATATGGACCTATTCTAGTATATGGTTTAGTATACAGTTTGTCAAAGTAATCAGCAAATCTGAAAATATAAGGCATTTATTTAAATAGGAGATACCATATCAAAACAAAAGCGTATAATACTATTTATTCTTATAAAAGAATTCTAGAATACAGTATTAAAATTAATTGAATTTGAAACATAAATTCCTAAGGTAAAAGTAATTGAAATAAGACCCCCCCCAAATAAAAAGGAAAAAAAAATCTGAAAGCTTTCAGATTTTATATTACGCGAAAAGGGTCGTTTTTTTTAAATTTGTGTGTTACCTTTATTTATTAAATATCATGTCATTCACACGTAAACCATAAAATTAAGTTCAGAATTATCAAAAAATGATTTAAAAAGAGCATATCTTTAGAATTTCCGGCGCGCTAGAGATAATTTTTTTTTCGTACAGTGTTGCAATTACTCATTTTGAAATCGTTGAGTTTGTTAATCAAAAACTCATAAATGATTTACAAAATATGAAATAGATAATAAAACAAATTCCAAATTTGGGCTTCCAGATGTCCAGATTCAGGTGTAAACGTACGTTATTCAACAATGGATGGCTCTACATACCGTTGTTTTACCACAATGCAAGAAACATGCATACATTTATGCAGATTCTTCATTATTAATTTCTTTAAATATAATACAGAGAAGTAATATTTGGCGCAACAATTTGAAAAGTGATTCAGACTTGTAAAGTTTTCGAAGCAAAATGCCAAAACGAAATTAATAGCCCTTCTGGGGTAACGCCCTTTGTGCTATAAGCATCTTTAGGACTGACGGCAATCAAAGACGGATTCAGAAACCAGCACAAGTATGGACGCCACCAATAACTAAACAAGCAAGTTAATAACTAACCAATGAATTAATAACTAAACAGCAAATATAGTTACAAAATACAATTTTATAGTTTGAAATCAAAGCAAGGGTTTGAAGATGATTGTTTTAAAAAATATAACAAGTGGTACACTGGACATCTGAAAATAATAAATCATAAGGTAACTGGCGCACTAATGGGAAAAGGTTCGCCATCCCTTGCATAGGCCATTAGAAGTGGCCAAGGATTCGTCAGATGTAGATATAAAACCAAATACCACAATATGAAGTGCCTTTTGGTGTGAAAAAGAAAATGAAATGCAATTCAAAATGTATTCAAACCTTCTTTGTTATAACAAGCAAATTATTTTTTTCTCTCTTACTTTTTTATTTTTTTATTTTTTTAGTAAGAAATTATTTTATTTTATTTTATTATTTTCTTTATTCATTTATATATTTTTAACGAAAACATTTCAGGAGTTTCTTTTCAAGTTTTACTTTTTTGTGAGAAAGGAATTAATCGCAATTTAAAGTAACAAGCCTTTCTTAATTGTTTCAAAAAACAAGTAAGTTCATAAATTTACTTATTTTTCATTTTAACATACGTCTTTTCAATAAAAACTTTCGTAAGATTCTCTTTTAATATTTTGCCTAAATAGCCATTTGCCAATCTGTATAAAATAATTCGGAAGTTTCATACTTTGCCAAAAAAAACTCCAGACATTCTGTATATTACCTAAACATTACACGAAAAGCCAGCTTTTCAAACACTGTCTATAATATATACAGACAACCCTCGATTTACATGGTATTCGATTTGCATGATTTCTGTTTAACAAGTTGCAGAACAGCGAAATAATTTCCAAGCGGCCTTGAATTTCACTTTAACACATGTGAACCAGACAAATGCAAAATCATATTTATATTATTAAAACCTCCAAACAGATATTAAAAGAAAGACACTTCTCAAAAACCCCTTATTAAAAAAGAGCTAAAAGCAAAAAACAGATAGGAAAAAAGAAAGACGTATTGACACGGTATATCATAGTAGTAAATATAGAAACGCAAGAAAATTCAGAATTCTGCAGAATTGGAAATTTGGTTGTATTGAAAACGACCGAAAATAGAAAAAAGTTTAAAATTTAGAAGGGAATAGAGCAATGACTTGGCTCTATATCAGGGAATTAATAAGGAGCTAAGTAAAGATTTGAAATAATCTTTGATTACGGATTTTATTCAAAAGGTCCTGCCATACAATAATATAATAAATTAGAAAAAACACTGAAACTGAGCAAATAAGCAGTAATTAAGACACAATAACACGCCGAATAAATACTAATTCAGAAGTCAAACAACAAAAATCAGCGTTATACCTACACAATTTTCACAGGACTAGTTTCGATGGTTTTACAGAACCATCATCTTCAGCTGCAAAACCGCAAATGAACAAGATAGGAAATAATGATTAGATAAGATAAGAAAGCCTGGACAAGAATAAGCAAGTGGCGCCATCTGTTGGCGGAACCAGAACTAAAACATAATTTCTCTAAAAGCCGAAGGCAAATTTGGATTGGAATTAGGATCGTTAACTAGAACAGAAAGATTTTTTTGAATGTGAAATGCCTCTAGAAAATCCAGTTCTCCAATGGAAGATGTTTTTTGAATAATTTTGGCAGCAGAAAAATTGAAAGTGTGATTTTCGGACCAACAATGTTGATCAACAGAAGACTTCTGTGTTTCCTTTTTTCTTAAATATGCCTCATGTTCTTTGACGCGAAATTTTAAGGCTCTCTTAGTTTGGCCAATGTAAATTAACCACACTGGCAAGGAATCCTATAAATACCCCAGGAATTCATATCCGGAATGGGGTCCTTGAGTATAGAAGTTGGAATTTTATTGATGGGAGAATAAACAACCCGAAAGTTAAATTTCTGCAAAATATGTGCAACTTTATAGCTAATTGATGGAAAGAAGGGAATGACAACAGAATTTTTATAATCTCCTAAAATAAGAGTGTGGCTTTTTAGTGTGTTGAGATGAGAATTTTTTAACTGCTTTGATTAATAATGTTGGGTGAAAAGCCCTGTCAATAGCTATTGCTTTTTTAAATAATTTAGTTCTTCATCAAGGGCTAGTTTGGAGGAGCAAACTTGAAGAGCACGGAAAACATAGGAATAAAATGAAGGTAACTTTTGTTTTTGGATTTTCTAGAGGCATTTCACATTCAAAAAAATCTTTCTGTTCTAGTTAACGATCCTAATTCCAATCCAAATTTGCCTTCGGCTTTTAGAGAAATTATGTTTTAGTTCTGGTTCCGCCAACAGATGGCGCCACTTGCTTATTCTTGTCCAGGCTTTCTTATCTTATCTAATCATTATTTCCTATCTTGTTCATTTGCGGTTTTGCAGCTGAAGATGATGGTTCGGTAAAACCATCGAAACTAGTCCTGTGAAAATTTTGTAGGTATAACGCTGATTTTTGTTGTTTGACTTCTGAATTAGTAAATAAGCAGTAGTTTAAATATAGCACCAAAAAACAAAAGAAGAACTCAAATGGAGATGAAACCGAATAAAAACACTTTAATTTTAATTTTAAATTTTGATTTAAATAGAATCTTATTGAATTAATGTATTTTTATTTAAAACATGTATATACGTACTTTTCATTAAAAAAAATAAGTAATACTCTTTACACGAAACACTTTCGTATGGTTTTATTAAATTTACTACATGTGTTATTTCTTTTGAATGCGAATTATGGACTGGAATTATACGATTTCAATCTATACGGGATTTCCTAGGAAGTGATCTACCGTGTAAATCGAAGGTTACCTATATATATATATTTATGCAATTAAATTGCTAACTGTCCTTCATTGGTATCTAATGAAAAGGCTTCAGAAAACTTGCAAAGTTGCCACATGAAGTCGCAAGGAATAATTTGATGTGATATTCAAGGTTTTGTAAAAATTTAAAAAGTATAAAAGATCCACTTATAATCCATTTCTAGCATCATTTCTCTTTTCTTTCATTATGTATTTTTTGTGCATTTTGAGTTTTTTTTTTTTTCCTGTTACTCTAGGCAAACAACTAGGAGCCTCGTAACATAACTTAGATTTAGATTTCTGCATCAACACTTATTCTTATAATAAATAAATGTTATAAATTAAAACTGGAGATTTCAAAATCTACTTTATTTCAAATGCATATTCAAAATCTGAAATTAAAGAACATATGAAATTTGAATTTATGTACAGTTAAAGATATATATAACCCGTTAAAACTGAAATTAAATGGCAGAATGGATTTTCTTTGTAAAATCAACGTAAAAGTAATGAAAATCGCAATCGAATCAACATAATTTAGATGTATCTTACTTAGCCATAAAATCTTGAGCTTTAGCGAAATCCATAGAAAGGACTGCGTCGATTCCAGTAATTAATTCATAGTGGTAAGTGATGAAGAAATTTGCTAAACATGTGCCACACAAAAACAGTGCAATAAGCGAATAACCAATTTTCGGCCACCTAGGGAGAAAAATAAGTGTTGAGAATTTGGCGAAATAAAAATACTTATGCTATAAATATTTATGAGATAAGTAATATGAAATAACGCTTGATTAAAATTTCAAGGATATAATACAGGACTACTGCGACAGCAGGATGCTATGTAATTCTGATATCAACCATAAAAAGCTAACTATATTTATACACTTAATTTTAAATTATAATCAAATACCACATTTTAATACATTATTCTGCACTGCATTTAGAATTTCGTGAAATTTTTAGAAAGAAAAATGCCTTTGTTTAAAAAATGCAAACTATATTGCTTTAGCTGACAAGTAAGATAACAATAACCCTCCAAACGTTAAGTCTTTTGGCCTTGAAACCCTAAAGTTTCTAAAAATGTTATGAATATAGGTTGATTATAATTCCAATATACAAGGTTAGTCAAATGTCGTTTACCGTAAGGATTTAAGATAAACTCTTGTAAATACTACATTCAACTAGTTACGAGCCGCGCAGCTGGTGTAGTGGTTAGTGACGCTGGCTGACATACCGATGAGCCGAAGTCCGAATAGCGAAACAGAATGGACGTTTGTAAGCGTATAGTATCTATGTGGCAAAGAGACACTCAAAATACATGGTGGGCCAAACATACTTTCGAAAGGCTGATGGTAGTAGAAGAGGGGTGGGACACTTTTGAACCACCCCTTAGTGTTCCTCTACAAAACTGTGGTGGAACTGCAAAGTTAGTGAACCGCACGGTGTTATACAAGCACGACCAATAATAAAATGTTAGTATACCAACACGACCAATTGGTGCACTCACTTCCACCTCTACCTCTACCTGATTGGTGTTATGATAATTTGCATTGAATTCTTTTCTTTATTCTTTGCAAATATAGAGAATTTAGTGTAAAGGACTTCAAGTTAACAAAGGATGAACAAGTTATATTATAAGTGTTACTTATAACGCTTCATAATAAGCTGTTCTGAGATGAGTTGCAAAGGCCGTAGAATCATTAGATTAATCATTCAGTGGTAGAATATAGTTCTCATGTTTCATGCAATATGTGAAACACGACTGTATTCTTATGATGTACGATATTTGCTTCACCCTGTCTTTACAGGTCGTTTCCCAATCTGACTGACAAATTCAGAGAGTTGATAGTAGCATCAAGAAGATGAAAAATTTCCATAGAACATGGAGTCGCAAACCACATTTAGTGAGAGAAAATCGCAATGAAAGGTGTGACGTCGAATGGAACAAAAGAGACCAATTAACAAGCAGAAAAACCTTCAATTTGAAGTAAAGCAGGATTACAATGCATCAGAGTTCGACGTCAGAAAGGAGACAACGAGACAATTTTATAGGAATGGTTCAAATTTGCGGCCGCGAAGATCAATTTCTCCACTGTAGCCTCAGGCATTTTATATACAAGGTGCATCTAAAACGTTCGGCGAATGGAAGCATAAAACAAATAAAACAAAACATAGAAACAAAAATACCCTTAATCACCCTCAAAGTAACAACCGCTGGCCACAATACACTTATGACATCAATGATAAAACTACTGAAATGAGTCGGCGATTAGCTCTTTTGGGATCGACTGAAACCCAGATGTCACACGTCATAGAATGTCTGGTATGTCTTCAAAACGTCCGCCTTTGATCACTCCCTTGAAGCGAGGGAATAAAAAGAAGTCTTCAGGTGAAAGATCAGGTGAGTACGGTGGATGTGTGATAACAGATGCACGATGATGGGCCAAGAAGTTGCGTACAGGAATCGCAGTATGCGGTTGTGCGTTGTCATGCAGCAGACTCCACTTCCACCTCTGTACGTCTGTGGGCGGACATGTCGAATGCGCAGCAGTAAATGCTTCAAAGCATCTTTATAGAATTCGGCTTTGACAGTTTGCCCTTGCGGGACAAATTCTTGGTTGATCATGCTATTGCTGTCGAAAAACGCAATCAGGATTGTCTTGATTCTGGGCTTCTGCAGGCGACTCTTTTCGGGACGCGGGGAAGCTGGTAAGCTCCATTCCATTGTTTGCCGTTTCCACTCCAGATCGTACTTGTAGTATCAGCTCTTACCTCCTATGACGATGGTTTGCAGAACGGATGAATCTTGGTCGCACGTGTCAGGGAAATCTTACTGGAACAGATCTTGCGCTTACCCAAATCTTGATGAATGATGGTGCTGACACTGTCCTTGCTGATTCTCAAGTCCTCCGATAACCATTGTAAAGACAGTCAGCGATTATCTAAAAGCATCTATCGCCCCCCTCGGTGTTGTCGGTGGTCACATTTGTTCAGAGTGGTCCTGAACGTGATTCGTCATCCATGGTTTCCTTCCCCTCCCGAAAACATTTAAACAAGTCGTAAACGCATTTTTTGCTCACTGTGTCTATTCTGTACACCTAGGCCAACACTGCATGCGTTTCTATAGCGGGCTTTCACAATTTGTAGCAAAACTTAATATTTATCCGTAGCTCCATTCAAATATGATGATGCATTCAAACATACATCGTTCGAGTGCCTATAGCAGAATGTTCTGCCCCGGTTTTTTTGCGCTTCTTGCTACGTGCCGTCTCTTTGTCTCTACTTACGCATGCGCAAGGACGCATTTTTAACTCGTTGTTTATGAGATAGTCATCCATTCACCGAGCTTTATAGACGCACCTTGTACAACAGATTTAAGGTGGCCCCAGAAGGGTTGAGGCTCGGGGAGCGTGGAGGCCAAGCAATAGGTCCACCATGTCCTATCCACCTCCCGGGATTTGTAGCATTGAGGTGGATACGCACCGCAATCGCATAATGTGCTTGTGCCTCATCATGCATGAATTGGCGCACAGTGGCCGGTATTCTCTGCATCAAATCTGGGAGGAGTGCTGCAGGAAAACAAGGTAATTTGGGTCATTGATGGACGCATTTGGGCAGAAGGTACGGTTAGAACAGATGATCTCCGAGAATCCCTGTCCAGATGTTAACATCGACTTATGTTTCACTTTCGACGAGACAGTGCTGTGGGGATTTTCGGACGACTACATATGCGCATTGTGCATGTTAAGCACGCCTTCTGTCGTAAAGCAGTCTTTATCTGAGAATAAAACAATAACGGGAACTGTGAATCATTCCGCGTGGCATCAAGCATGCGTACAAACTCTACCGGAAGCGAGTAGTCGGCATTCGACCTTCTTTACACGGAAGGTCTTTACATTCCACACCATTTTATGACGAATACCCATTACAGCTGCAACCGATCGCGTATTGGTCGACGGGGAAACGACAAATTGCTGCAATGAACGGTTTTCTGCTTCGAGTGTGAGCACACTGTGTTCTTGCCCTGCATTACGCTTCGTTATTTGGAAGGACTCCATCTCACGCAGCCATCGATCGATATTCGTGAAGACGATATGGTACAGAGAACACCTCCTCGGATATTACTTTTGGTACATCCTCTGTGCTAGGCGTCCATTGCCACATGTTCGGCTGTAAATCAGATGCATATCTGCAAATTCCTTGTTCGTGTAATCAGACATGTTGTTTTCAAATGAAGTTTTAGACCCGCAAATTCTGCTAATGCCCACTAATGAATACTTGCTCGCTGTTTTATTTTCCCAATACGCATAGGGAATTTGCACAAGAGAAGGTTTCTTCTTGGCCGCTGCTTTTATTTTCCCCATACGCATTGGCATTCGAAAAGGTTTCTTCTCGATAGTAGTGCTCCTAACCCTCCAATTTGTTTGGCCGCTTTCTTCGTAGGCTCACAGCACTATCGATATCTATTTTTCTCATTTTCACCCACTAAACATGTTTTGCGATCCCATGTTCCATGCTAATTTTTTATCCTCTTGATACCTACTATCATCTCTCTGAATTTGTCGGTCGAATATAGAAATACCCCGTATAATTGAAATTTTCAGGTTGATGTTATAAAAAATGTCTGATATGGACCACTTGAGACTTCCTTTTTACGGGCTATTAAATTATACACATTTTTTTGCCGCACTTCATTTAAACTAACTTCTTCGAATTATTCTAAATTAATTAACCGATTGCTGGAGTCCAGTTGAAAATGATTTGCCTCAAAAACTGCAGATTTTGAAATTAAATATGCCGCTCAGTTTTTGACGTACGGGAGTCAAACTTCTTACAATTTTATTTTTTCATAACGAGTATAAAACTTTCGCGAATATAAGTATAGAACCAGGAGACGGCATTAAAAATTAGCTCTCCTTGTTTGTCGAAATTTAACTTTTTTTTTAAAGGTAACATTGCCAAAACCTGAATATTTTCATCATTTAAAAAGCTTCTCTAACTGGATGTAGATAACTACGACCAACCATTATAAAAGTAAAGGCCAAGTAAGGATTTTTAAGCCGGATAAGGGGTGGATGTATATACATATATAAACATTCATTTGATACTGCCGATTTCAATACAAAAGGGGAGATACTAGATTAACAGGTACTAGATATTAGTCCCATGTACAAAATTTCAACGTGTTTAAACTTTATGGAGTTATGGGAGATACATACATATATATGTACGTATAAACGTCACAAAACAAAATTCTCATCTGAATCTATTTTTCACCCCTTTTTGGAAAAAACAATCCTTTATTTCGTGCGGAAGTACAGAAATCGCACAAGAAATTCATCTAAATGGATTCGAGAACAGTCAAAACGGGTGTTTCCGTTGAAACATGATACCTGAAATTTTTCGCGATTACAATGCTTCCTTTACTTCTTATACAAGAAAGTAATAATATTATGATTTCTGTTTGAATGATACAAAAAGTTATTAATTTTTCAGCGCATATAAATATTCAAATTACACTTTGTAATTTGTAAGCGTTGCGGAATAATTGTAATTTGTAAGCGGAAGTATAAGAAATTTCCGCAACGCTTGAAAATATGCACCTGTTACCTATTACATTTTTACGCTATTCTTATACTAACTACACACTTTATTCGGAATAAAACAATTAAGACTCAAAAATATTATACACTACATTTTTAATTTATAATAACTCCCGCTTAGATAATCATACATTTAAACAATGTATTGCACGTGATAAAAAAAGTATTTATAAAGCAACAAGTGCATATCCTGATTAATTTCCCCTGTTAATTATTTCCTTAAAGTCTTCCAAGAATTTGATTTCTTTTTGATTTCCAATGAGAGTTAAAATACATATTTTTAATTTTTGATAGAAAATATTACTTTTGCATCATTTAACGTTACAATTTATAATGGAACATATCTATGCTTAATAATGATTTTTAAGGGCTGTGAGGGAGATACTATCTATATATACTCCTGATTTTTTTAAGTACAAAAAATCCAGTTTTAATATCAATAATATGGTATAAGTTTGAGGCATATAAGCGGGTACGAAAATTGCAGATTATAAAGATAATCCTAGTTTATTACCTGAAAACTGTGTTTTCTACTTATGAAGAAATTATTGAAAACATTTTGCAGCGTTATTCAACTTTTACCGAAACTGGCTCTCAGTCTATTTTCAAAAGAATAAAAATGCAACATCTCATGTAGCCGAAAATGAGCCTCAAGTAAACTTTTAGCACTCAGTGCGGCCTCAGTCATAGTTAATGAGACCCTGAATCTTCTCAGAATTAATGAAATTGATCAAAAACATAAAATAGTCCAAATAAAATTATCATATAATTGATTCCACTGCTAGACACCTACTCTAGATCATCAAAAGTATTTCTGTAGCTTTATTGGAAATAATAGAATAAAAATATTTATAAAGTTAAATAAAAAACATAAAATTAGTTAAACAATATGTAAGCATGCCAGCTGCAAGAAAATGTGCTGTTCAAAAGATTAATGAAATTTATTTGAAACTGTTGACACTATTTACTAATTAGGCAAAAATAAACGAATTTTAAATGCCAAGCAAACCTCTCAGTTTTTTTGTTTTTTCTAAAAGATGAAAATTTAATTATTGTAACTGTCCACAAATCTGTTAGAGCCATACTTTCGGTGATCAAACTCTGGATTTCCTTATTGTTATACAAGCATAAAATGCAAATAAAAAAACTCCTTTATGGATCTTAACGTCTAACACTATTTCAAATTTTAGATAAAATAAATAGTATATTACCTAACACTGATTGAAATTTATTTTCTTAATTTTTTATATAAAAACAGAACAAATTTAGGATTTGTTTAGTCAAAAAACTTGGCACAATTTTTAGATTCATACACATAACCTGACGGAACAGTAGCGAAAAAAAGTGTTTCTGATTTGAATTAAAGATTTTAAAAATTCAATGTATAATTAATTCTTAAAATCTACTGTTATGTATTTTAATGTATCTTAACTTCCTTTTTTAAATATATTTCGAACCTTTGATTTAATTGAGAACGAACAAGTATATTTTTTAGATATCCTGTAGAGTCATTAGTTTATTTCGAAGCAGAAAAGTTGGAAAATATGCAACGCCTTCGCCGGGAACCGCGGACCTCTCAATTATGCGCTGAGCGTGCAGACCACTACACCACCAAGGCTCGCTAAGAAGGCGGGAAAAATACCTTATAATCCTATAAGGTATTTTCTCCCTCCTTTACACAGGCCTTTCGTGGTGTAATTAGAAGCAGACTCCACATATTCCACAGGTCAAGGATTAGAGCCCCGACGAGGGTATCGCATATTTTTCACATCTTCTGCTTCAATAACCTAATAGTTCTAAAATTCTTTTTCATATTCGGATCTTACAGTTAGAATCCGTTACACATTTGCCTTTTTATTTCTTGTACAGATATCACGTTTCAACGAAAATATCCATTTTGACCGCTCTCGAATCAATTTGAAAGATGTCTTTCGTGACATCTGTATGTAAATAATAAAGGACTCTTGTTTTCCAACACGGGTTGTAAAAGGAATTTAAAACGGATTCAAAAGGGATTTTTTTCTTGATGTCTCTACGTACGTACGCATGTATATATCTCACAGAACTCAAAAACGATTAACTATAAAACGTTGAAATTTCGTACATAGGACTGCTACATCTAGCTGTGTACCTCCCTTTTCTGTTATACTCAGCCTCACCAAACGTGTATACACCCACCCTCTTAAACGGCTCGGTGAGCTCTGTTTATTTTTGTTATACGTTGGTAAATTATATATTTTTTGCTTTAAAAGTGATGGAATTATGTTGTTCTTATGTTCTGGTTAAGGATTTGATGCCTTTAGTTAATCTGCAGGCAATAACTGTAGAATTATGAGCAATTTAAGCCGAACGTATCGGCTATTTATATATGTTTGAAACTCATAATAATGTACTGAATTAAGTTAGTCGTTACACCAACTTCAGTGTTCTTTTGCACAGTGGGACCAAAAGTTGACTTCACATTTTTGTGCACCAAAAATTTAGTGCTTTTACTTGTTGGCTGAATTTCTTGTTTTTGTATAGAAATCATAATTTTAACTGTAAAAATTGCTTTTTTAACTGTATTTGGTGTTTTAAATTTTTCTGTATTTTACAATTTTTAATGAAGATGTTTTGAGTATTTATATATTTTTATTTAGCCACGAAGTAAGAATTGAACTGATTGAATGAGAAATATAATTAATGAAATTCGAGACAATAAGATGGAATGAAGTTCAGCAAATAAACCATACAAAGAAATCATGTGGTGTCCGCATCAGATATTTTTATCACATTCACATACAAAAATAATATTAATCCATTAGAAAATTCTCTGAAACTCGAGTAGTTGATGAAAGTTCAAAATTAGATATCGTGCAATAACTGGCAAAAAGTTTTCATGAAGCAGAGTTTTATAATTTAGGAAGAACGGAGAAGAGGCTGAAATTTGTAGCACACGATGATATCCAAAATTTAGTTTTTTAAACATATGAGCATGAATGAAATATTACATACCTCCACAAAGAATACAAAAATAAAGGGCTGATGATGAAGAATTGCATATCGTTGGCCAAATACCAGGTCCATATCATGCACTAAATTTGGAAAAGATTAGATTATTTTCAATTTAAAGGTTTCAAAGCGTTAAATAATTGTCTAAAGTTTGATTCTAAATATTGGTTGAACTAAATTTATCTTTAATATTAGCACTGGTTTAAAACGTGAGCGTCAGCATTTAGAAAACGTTTTTTATACACTAAGTTTTTATTTAAAATGGATATGATAATTAATGCACTAAAAAGAGAAAAATAATTTATCGTATAGTTTAATCGGAATAACAAATTAAGTAATTCTATTTACAGAATTCATCTGCAATTTGATATCCCGTTGGCTACATATATCACGAATAATAACAGAGTGAGCACAAGATTTACATAGGAACTTATGTCTCAAAATGTGAACTGCAAACGGTAGAAGGCAATGTTCGCAAGCGTAGAGAGGAAGAAAGAAAGGATATCGAAAGAGGTGTTAATATGACTTTTATGAAAGAACATTTCTAAATTGTAGAGACATTAGGATTTTCTGGAAGCAGGAGACTTGAAAAATGAGCCACGCCTTCGCCGGGAATCAAAACAAAAACCTCTGGAATACGCGCCCAGCGTGCAGATCACTACACTAGGAAGGCATTCTAAGAAGGTTGAAGAAATATCTCATATACTCCCCCCTTTTAAAGGACTACTGGGATTTTAGGGAACCACTTGCCAAATCCTTGGTGTGGAAAATCAACATCCACCATCTTTTTAGTTCGGGCGCCACTGTAGAGACATTAGGTAATTTTTGGAAGCAGGAGTGATAAAAAAATGAGCAACGCCCTCGCCGAGAACCGAACCACCACCTCTGGAATACGCACGCATCGTGCAGACCACTACACCACGAAGGCATGCTAAGAAGGCGGGAGAAATACCTTATATTCTCCCTCTTTTAAAGGGCGACAATCGCAAAATCCTGGGGGTGGAGAATCATCATCCACCACCCTTTCACTTCGGGCGCCAATGTAGAGTCATTAGGTATTTTTGGAAACAGGTGAGATGAAAAATAAGCAACGTCTTCGCGGGAAATCGAACCACGGACCTCTGGAATACGCGCCCAGCGTGCAGACCATTACACTGTGAAGGCATGCTAAGAAGGTGGGAAAAATACCTTATAAAATCATAGAAGATGTTCAAAATTTCTGCCATTCACCACAATGTATCTTCACAACGTCAATGCTTTGATTCACGGACTCCTTAAAAATTGGCAGGTGTGTCACGGACACGTGCTGCCGCTTCCATGATCCTTTCAACAAGATCCATCTCCGATGTTCCTGGCGTTTCGCACACCATCAAATTCATGCACCATTAGAGGTACAAAATCCAGGGAAGTCAGGTCCGGGGATCACGGTGACCATGCGACTGGTCCGCCTTTGCCAATCCAGCGAGCAGGATATGTCCTAGCGAGGTATTCCCGCACAATGCTGCTAAAGCAAACGGTCCATGATGCCTGTAACCAGGTGTTTTGGCGCCTAGCAGCTGGAGCGTTAACCATCTTATCCGGCAAAACTCTTTCCGCAAAATGTCCATAAAGAAGTGAGTTAGTGAACCGAATCATCTTTCTCCTGCAACGTCCTCGCTTGAAATGATCAAACTTCCCATTCTTCCATAAGCCTGTCAACAATGCCCTCTAGCGGTCGCCGTTCGCATTTTCGGACACATGTTCCTATGTAAAAAATAATGCTTGTTATGGTATGACAGATTAACATGTTAAGTTTGGAAACAACGTTTTGAGACATCCTGTACATTTGGCAATGCAATCCAATTAATAGGAAATTTGAAAAGATAACGGCTTACACATTTGACAATGCAATTCAAATTAATAGATTTCGTTATTTAAGCGCCCCACGCTTTTATTCCTCGTGAAAAGATTAAAAAATAATTAACGATGAATGATATAACATATTGTTGCGTTATTTTGTTCCTTTACGTTACGTACGTACGGGGTTTCTGCGGATTTGCAGTGAATAACGACGACAGCACTGAATGAAGTATCGAAACACACTTTATTTAGACAATATTAATCAGGACAGCACCAAAATCACGTTGCAGTCGGCGAAGAACTACTATAAACACGCTGACACAATCAGCGACACAGCCTCCAGGTTATCAAGCTATAACGGTGGAGACAACTTCACTGCATAGCACCAGAGTACAGCTCCCGACTTTGCTTGGTCGTTCTCGGAACTCCACGTACTCTTGAGATTCTTCACGCAACATCTCGAGTTGCACTCGACGATACACTAGTGTACAGCTCCCGACTCCTCGGTTCAATTGTTCCAGGAGCTCAACACACTCTCTCGACGATGCACTAACCGCGATACACTAAGAGACTCTTTGGGTGCTCGCGCGGACCCACTCGGCACTCGCTGACCGACTGTCCACTCGGTCGACTTCGCACGGACTAAATAACTTGATACTAACTGACTAACTAACTCTACGCCTACCAGCAGGGTTTATAAAGCGTTTGGCTTGTGTTCGAAACATTCTGGGCTAAACGGGTAAGAATTCATTTCAGAAGGTTCTCCATCCATCTATGGAATATCGCCAATTTTGTCGTCGCGATGGGCGATTTCTCGTCAAATATGGCAATCCTGCCTTTCCTTGCCATTTCATGGCAACCCTATAACTGCTTTGCGGGGAAGCCATCTTACCGCGCCTTGACATTTCGTAAGAATATTGCTTTGGAGAATAATATAATTAATTAAATGAGCTTTTATATGGTTTCTTTTAAGAAGTTTATTTTCCATTTTTTAGAAAGTTCTTGGCGGTAATATTAGAATCATGTTCATAAACTTTTTAAATAAAATAAATTTTCAGTCCACAAAATTTAGAAATTCATTTCAAAAGTTCCATATTTATTAACTTTATTCCCAACTCATGCGTAAAAGTATTTTACCACGCAAGATAATAATTTTTTCACATCAGATATCTTATGAGTTATTATTTCATTACAGATATTCAATACAAAAATTATTACTTGATCTGTTGATTTTAGAAAATTGTTTATATAAAGTAAATTCCACCACCAATTATTTTTGCAGCTTGGTTCTATATCTTTATCTGGAGAAACTGGACCAGAGCTCAGATAAAAGGAAACCGTAGCAGAAAATGCCAACGTTATCATGTACACAGGTGTAAGTCTAAAGAAAACATAAAAAAATCTTATTATTAAAATAAAAAGTATGGACGTTATATTGGTTATTCGATTTTTTTTTTTTTTTTTTTTTTTTTTTTTTTTTGAAAATTCAGTAAGTTTAAAGAATAATTGATGTTATTTTATTACAATGAATACAACGAAACAGCAACAGATTAGTTTTGATTTACTAGAATAATTATCCCGAATTGTACAAAAATTTTGATTAGAAATTTCATAAAACCTAATACTTACCTTATGTACCTGTGGATATAAAAATAAACCCAAGATATTTTTCCTTTCCTTTTGCTGAATTCTTGAAGGAAAAGGTAAGCGAGAAGAAATCCACTGTAAAATAAAAATGCTTTAAAATGTATATTTCAACTGAAACAAGAGAAAATTAAAAGCCAGATAAACCTGTTATGTTTTACAAAATTGCTTTTCCAACAGTAAAACTTTCTTTCCCTTATTTCATTTAGGTAATTATGAGTAAAAAATAATAATTACACTTGGTTTTTATTAAGAACCAAGCGCAATTGTAAATTTTACTCGTAATTATGTGGGCCCACCAGCGGCCGAGCGGTAAAGTCGCTGAACACTGGTAGTTCGGTCCGAGGTTCGAATCCCGCGAACGGGCTGGCTGCATGGGCGTTTTCGTGGTTTTCCCCGTGTGTAACGTGTATACGAGCCAGTTACCCTTAGAAAGTCCTCCACGAAGGCATCCCTTCCCTTAGGCAGATAGCCCTAGTGTGGTTTGCCATAATTGAATACACTAACACCAATTATAATTATATTAACGCTTAGAACTAAAGCAATTTTAATAGTGCGTAAAAACTCAGTAACATATGGAAAAAAAAAAACTTTATTTTAAGCATAATGTTCAGACATTATTTAATTTTATGTGTTGTTTCATGTATTTCATTTTTAATAAATATATTAACATAACATTGCAGAGACATTAGGTTATTTCGAAGCAGGAGAGATGACAAATGAGCAACGCCCTTGCAGGGAATCGAACCTTGGACCTCTGGAATACGCGCCCAGTGTGCTGACCACTACACCATGAAGGCATGCTAAGAAGGGGGGGGAATACCTTATATACTCCTTTTTCGAACAGCGACTGGGGTTTTTATGGGACCCAGTTGACAAGTCTTGGATGTGAAGAATCATCATCCACCACTGTTTTAGTTCGGGCGCCACTGGAGAGACATTAGGACTTTTTGGAAGCAAGAGACTTGAAAAATGAGCAATGCCCTCGCCGGAGATCGAACCACGGACCTCTCGAATACGCGCCGAGCGTGCAGACTACACTACGAAGGCACGCTGAGAAGGCGGGAGAATTACCTTACAACATATTTTACAAATACAATAATATTATTTTTTAAAACTTGGTAGTTTAACACAAAGTTATACAACGTGCTTTTCCCCTTATTTTATTAATTTTGTCGCCCGAAAATCGAGAGGGGGAAAATTATGAGAATAGTTTAATTTCTAAAGGATGGACCACCGTAAGATTATAACAAATGAAAAGTAATCATGGATAAACTACAGATACTGCCACACTATTATTTAAAAAAAAAAAAAAAAAAGAAAGAAAACGTACATTCCAATAAGAATACATGGTAATGTTAACATTGCCGCATAAGATATATTCATTTCCATTTCCCTGTAATTTGAATCCCGCCCGTTCTTATTGTTGTCTTTGCTTCTCCTTACGCCTCAAATAATTAAAGAAGCTGAATGTGCAGCTGATTCGGCAAAATTTTAGACTGAATGTCAGTTCGCGTTTGCTCCATTGTAATTGATCGATTCTTGTATTAGGCTGGCATAAAGCTCAGCGTTAGAAGGGAAAGCTTCACAGTGACCTTCGCAGGTGCTTTACGACCGTTTGTCTTTGTTAGTAACATGAAGTTATTGTATGTACGCAGAAATTCATCACATATGTATCTTTTGAGAAACGTTCAAAAGAAAACTAATAGAAATTTATTTTAAGATGTACATGCGTTTTTTGTTTTAATAATCTCGTAAATTTTAATGCTCTTTTTTTACAGATTTAACTTTGCAATTTAGCTTGTTTAAAATATTATGTACATTTTAAACAGTTAAACTATTTCATTGTTTTAAAACAATAAGGATTCAAAGTCGAAAAATAATGTGTAACATTTGAAATAACGATGAAATTGTTCATATCTTTATTTCATTTGCCTGTCGCGAATAAACGGTACTTTTTCTCCACGAAAATTTTAACACAGATGCGGATTTTAATTTGAAAAATTCTTCAAGTGTAATTTGACGTGGCATCTGATTCTTAGTCTTAAGCAAAGCACTGAAAGTTGAATTAAATTCTTGAAAGTTTTCTGGCTGCTCTTCTTATTTTAAGAAGAAAAGATATTGCTGAGTGTGTCAAAACAATGCACGGTGCCTTGAAAGAAAAACTGAATTTTTTGTTTTTTCTTCATTTACGCTATTTAAATACTTCATCGGAAAACTATTAAAAGCAATGTCTGTTTCCAATTGATTCCGAACTGTTTTTCTCCAAGTATTTCCAGCAGTAACGTTCAGAAGGATAATTTGAATTAAATTTTTTACAGAATATCGCTTGTTTCTCGATTTATAAAACCTGTCTTGGAGAAAAATTTAACTATTTTTGTCTTTAAGTCAGATCATTTTCGTAGCTCCAAGCATGTTTATCTTTCTCCAAGTATTTTTTGCAGCAATATTCTCAAGAGCTATTGGAATTAATATTTTGTTATATACCAATTTTAAATTATTATTTTTACTCAATTTCAAAACTTGAGTGCAGTCGTTCAATTTAATGGCAATATAACGTTTACATTTTCCAAAACTACAATCTGTTATGGACAGTGGTTGCAGTGAGTTTCATCAAGGGCGACTAGGTATAAGGAAAGATAATTTCTTGAATGGTAAAGTAACAAGAGTAATGATATACTACAGCGGTGTTTCGCAGATTTTCAGTGGAAACTTTATGAATTAAAATTAAGGATTTCCTTGAAAAATAAAAAAGTTTAAAAATTATGCACATTTATTTGGTACTTGGATTAGTTCTCGCTGTTTATTGGACAATAAACACATATTTGTTTTAATAGAATTATGTAAGATAATTTACTGAAAGTAATGTCCTTCAGCAGCTTCAAATTTTTCCCACTTGTCTGGTATTCAAGTTCTTTTGAGATGATCCAATTACGAAGCCAGTTTTCGAGATCGTTAGAAGATGTGAAGTGTTGTTTAGAAAGACAATGCTGCGTGGACCAAAACAAATGGTAACTGGAAGGAGCGATGTCTGGTAAATATGGCGGATGGGCTAAGACATCCTTTTGAAGTCCCTTCAAGGGTTTTCCTTTATCGTTTGAAACGTGTGGTTTGGCATTGTCATGAAGCAGAATTACATGGTCATGTCTCTGAACATATTGCGCGTATTTGTCTTTAAGTGCGCCAATCACATTGAATAACTGTGCTTCGTAGCATTCAGCACTCACCGCTTGATCCGGTTGTAGCAACTCATGGTACACCACACCGGTTTGATCCCATCAGTTGCACATAATAATCTTCTTGCCATGAATATCCGGTTTTGGTGTTGATGGTTCGCCACGACCGGCTCATTATTTCATGCAAAAATGGCTTCCGTTTTTGCTTTTGAAGCAACACGTCACAAATGGTGAAACGTTTCTCAATGTCCCTCTCTGCCAATTAATGTGGTTCTCAGTTTCCCAATTTCTGAATCATGCGCATTGTTTTTAAACGCTTATGAACGGTTGGTGTATCCACATTTAGTGTTTCAGACAACTGTATAAGCGTCTAAGATGAATGATCTGCCAGTTATGCCTCTAACTGTCCATCGTGAAAACTTTTTCTGCCAACCAGGACGCATTTTGTCACTCACCTCAAAATCGTTATCTTTGCATCGTCGAAACCAATCTCTGAACATTTTTTTCTAATACAGCATATTCCCCTTACGTTTCCACTCGCAAACGATGACTTTCTGCAGCATATTTCTTGATATGAAAGCAGAAGAGCAACACTTCCTTTTGAATAAACAAAAATTGAAAACCTTTAGTACCACCACTACAAAGTACAACCTCTCTTGAATAAATTTCAAGAGATTCTCAGATCGCATAAATTTACGAGTGTTAGAGAAAAACCTCAATCAGGATGTTGGGGTTTTAATTTTTGAATTTAATAGTTAAAATTACTTTGCTGCTTTGCATACCACCGGTTGAGAAACCCTGGTCTATACGACGCTTATCTCGCCTCTGTGCGATAGATATTGAACATGAATTTATACGAGTATCTTCCTCTTCCACATGTAAAGTATTTAAACATCCAAAAAAATTCACTAATTGCTGCAATAACAGCCAATTCTAGTTTCTTTTTTGATATAAATGTTTCTTTGGGGCAGTTATTCCAGACAACACTATGTAAACTCTCGTTAGTATTTTGTGTTTTTCCAGATATGCATTTTGCTAAAAGTTCACTACTGGTTAGCCTTTAATACACTGACAGTATTTTGAATAAAACATACACTATTAATTTGTTTTCGCCATTAAATGAAAATTAGATTTCTCATTTTTGGCAATGCTACGTTGAAAAAAACACCATGATTTAACATATACTGGGCATTTACTATGTCTATTACTAGTATAATATGTTCATGGAATAACAGGGAAGCACCATGATGTGACATCTATTGGGCATTTATTATGTTTAGGTGAGCATAGTTTACTATATCCATAGAATAGCAGTGAAAGAAATTTGCATAAATTGCATTTTTCATATTTTGCACATTCATAGCTTGTTAATAAGTATTAATTGCGGAAATTAAAATATAATATTTTTTCTCAAATGTTTGTTTACCTTTTTGTGTTTGCTTTTTGTTTTTCTCACATGTTTGTTTACTTTGTTTACCTCTCAGTGACATTTAAATGTCACTAAAAAGGTAAACAAACGTATTCAAATGTTGATAATTTCTTAAAAATAATTTTTCACACAAGCAATTTTTTTTCGGTAGACGATAGAGGTAAAACCGCAGAATATTATTATATAATTTTTTTTTCTAGTTTTTGGTCGATTTTTGCTAAAATCATCGTTCACTGTTCCCTCAATATTAATATAGCTTCATCTGATATTATTGTAACAAATGCCAGCCTTCTTTATTTCGCTCTATATTCTATCCAGTATTACATCTCCAATACTATCAATAGAGTGGGTAATGTGATCACATTTGTCCATGGCTGCCTTGATAAGTAACCGCATGATAATATTAAGCGTTGGGGGAAAATGCACTTCAGAATCACAATGTAGTTTAACACAGATTTAACATGCCATATATT